GTTTTCGGCCCCAAATTTTAGATTTCGGCCTACAAGAATTTTAGTTTTTGTTTAGTTTTTTGTGTAGAAGAGGTACTATAAACTTAAAAGTGTTTTTGTAAAATCAGAAAATGGCAAAACGGTTTGGGAAATCGGTGTATTTAGTTTTCTCAATCGGTGATTGCGATTTTTTAACCGTGACGTTATTTTTTTTCTTTTTGGGTGTGTTTTTGATATAAAATAATAACCATGATTAATTATTTCTCTTTGAATCATAATCTAATAATAAAATCTTTTAAATATAGCAATCAAATATTCTCATTAACGAGTATTTTGTACTTCATCATAAGTATTTTAGTTTAACAAAATCTGTTACCATATCTAACCATTCTTATCTCTAACCAAGAGGAGCCATCTGAAGAATAAAAATTTCTTTTTGAATCTTCTTCCTAAAACGCAATGTGAATAAAATATTTGATATGATAAGATGAAATGGCCGTAAACGTAAACTAAGATAGCATTACATTTTCCGCCGCCGTATTCTTTCATACAATTTTAAGTTGGCCGAAAACTAAATTGTATATATTTTAGAGTCAATCCAGTTTTCGGCCACGACTGAAATGGGTATTTTGTTTCATCACTAACTGTTCAAATTGCAGTACTTGGTGGCCGAAAACTGAAAGTTAGTGTCTACGCACGCTACGATTCAATATAAGTAAGAAAGATGAGTTATAGTACGTAACCAAATAAACGAAAGAGACAAAGTATTTAGGGTAAACTCAGGCTACTTTTCGGCCGCATGGCCGACAACCAAATAATGGGACAATTTTATGTGTCACTTTTCGGCCACTTAATTTATTAACTTTATCAATAAATTATTATAATAATCAGTGTCAAATAACTATATTAGGCTATTTATATAGTGAAATATAAGCACAATATTAAGTAATTATATTAAATACAGCACGAAACTTACTTTTGAATGGAATGCTCGCCACTATTTTTTTTTGCTCGATCTTACCCGTTTTGACAGCTTCAGTGTCGGCGTCAAACTAAACTATTTATTATAAATCGCGTGTTGTGTTTACCTGATTAATTAATGCTACCAGATATAGTGAAACTATTTACAAATGCATTAAACTGTATTTCTTACGATAATATTTATTAAAATTGTTATTAAATCAAAATTTGCTGCATCAGCTCGTGCCAAAGGCCGAAATCTAGACCCGGCCGGCTTACCGGCGCATCGACCCTACCACTTACCTATAATGTGGACTGCATGCTTGATTATCACCCTTATTCTGTAAAAAAAAGAGCAGTTCCACGACCTCATAGAATCCTGGTGTAAAGTAAAGTAAGCATTAACGGTGTTTAACCGCTATAAAGATTTTATTGAAAAGCTTTAAAAAGAAGAAAATAAACTTTTGATTAAAGCAAATCCATCAATTTCGATATTTGTAGCGACTAAGAAGGCTTTCTAGCTCATTTGACTTCTACTCTCACTCAATTTGCGCTCTAGCGTTCTGATGGCTGAAATATGTTTTTACATTAGAGTTAATAAAGAACAATTTTTTTTCATCGACATTACGAAAAACTGTCAACTGCGCTAAATTTGTTATATTGCTGACTTAAACCATTAATGAAATGTAAAAAAATGCTTATATTTTATATTCAAATCATATACGAATCCCTCATAAGGAAACCGGAAAAGTTCTTGACATGAAATAAAAAAATATTATTATTAAGCACGTAAAAATATTATTATGAGAAATGGTTTCTTCTTAATTCTTGTGTGAGATAATTGACGGCCCTATAGTACAGCCCCATACTGCAGTGTTTTAACGATTGGCTGCAGGTTCGAATTGCGCAAAATAACTGTTTGTATGACCTACAAACAATTTGCCCTAGTTTAAACATTGGTTTTTGTATCTTTCACATTCAAACGAGGAATGTGAAAAATGTGGATGTGTAAAACTCCTACAAAATACAAGAGAAATCTCTATTGTTTGTTTGTTTTTTACTCCTGTGAAAATATGATAACTACTAAAAGGGAGCCGTGGTAGCTCAGTGGTTAACGCTCGCTGTAAATATAACAGAACGCGAGTAACCCGGGTTCGATCCCCGCCGGCACCAATGAAATTGTTAATTGCAATTTTAAGTGCTGATTTACCACGTGCTCGGCGGTGAAGGAAAACATCGTCAGGAAATCTGCATGTCTGAGGAATAAGAAAAAAAAATATTTCGAAGACATGTGAAGTTCGTCAACACGCATTTGGGCAGCGCGGCGGACACTTCCTTGCCCTAAACCCTCTCAGAAATGAGGGGAGGCCTGAGCCCAGCAGTGGGACGTATATAGGCTGTAACTTTACTTTACTTTACTTTACTAAAAGGGAGTTACACCGTTAAAGCAAAATTCTATATTTCTTTTATTATAAACTGTTCCCCGCGTCTTCGTTCTATATATTGGTTTTAGTTTTTTGTCGCGGAACCCTAATTCTTTTTCTAAAATAAAATTAGCCTAAGTTACTCCTTATACCATTAATTATTTGCCAGTGTCCACAGACAGACAGACATACAGGTAGACAGAAAGACAGACATTTTTGTGTCTGTCTTATTTAATATTTGTTTTTTGTTATAGTGCCGTACCGTAATATCATTTATAATATGCATTTTGTAAAAAGCTGTTCTTATGAAATTACAAACTGACTCCTCTTTAGGTATGTAAATTTTCTCGTTTGTAAAGTTAATTACTAAATAAATAATTAATTACACGTTTTTTTTGACAACAATTATTTTTGACAAGCTTTAAAAAACAGTATTATGTATGTTATTACTCTAAGGATTGTAGTTTCAGTTGTATGTTTTCCTCGAAAGCATCTAAACAACTATTATGCATAAAATAAAAAGCTGAAGTGATAAGACCATAATTCTGTAAAACCGTGTGTTTTATGAAAATAGAAAACAAATTAGGAGACCAAAAAATGCAGCTGTCGCTCGGTGATTATAACGCTCCGTTCATATTTACCTTCTGTACGAGGTATTGTTAGTAAAAATTCATACAAAGGTTACTTCAGGTATTAATTTAATTTTTTCGTTAATCATTTAACTCCTACGGTTGTATTTCTTTGTAGTGTTTCAGTGTCAAATAAGAAAAAATATTGCAGACGCAAATTTCACGAACGCACATCGCGACAAAACTCAAAATATCATCAACACCATCTGGATGCTTGGCGGTCTTGGTGGTAGAGGTTCATCACTGTGCATTTTGCTAGGGGGTTTCTTTCTCGTACAACTTATTAGTGGAATCGTTTACCACCGAGGATTTTTCCGGACCGATACGACCTTCAAGAAAAGAGCTTACTCATTTCTAAAAGGCCGGCAACGCACCTGCAATTCCTATGGTGTTGCAGTTGTTCACGGGCGGTGGTAGTCGCCCATCCTTACCATCAGGCGAGCCGCATGCTCGTTTGCCCCTCTTCTATAAAATAAATACTACTGATGAATAACATATTCAATTTAAATTAATACACACTTCATGTCTATTCAATGATTCAATCTGCTAAACTTTAAGAAACAGAATGGTTCACAATTACAGAAAATTGTATTATTTTATGATAGCCATGTTAAAGCTTAATACTGCCTCAGTTACAACCTAAAACTCAAATAAAATTTAATGAACATGATACCTCCTATTTGTTGTTTGTCGAATTCGATCTTCGTTAAAAAGTAATCTGAACCTTTTTGAGTGGTTTAAAAGACTGTTCAAGCCATTACATTAATGGCAGGCGAATGGAGCATTAAAATTTATAAGGTACTTATTTGACATCCCTTTAAATTCTAATGGATTTGTCATTGTGCACTTTATTATTGTTTCTTTTAAAACAGACTTCAAAAGGGAGGAGGATTTCGAATTGGACTTATATTACGGGAAGTTGTCAAAAGTCGAACAGTACAGCCAGGAACACTGCAATAGCTGAATATTATTCAGCGAAAAAACAATGCTTGGATGCCAAATTAAACAATATTAACTTAGAAAACGATTAGTTTAAACTAAAGAATTTAGAGCTTAAATTGAAAAATGAAAAGCTTACGTTAGAGACTGAGAAATTAAAATTAGAATTAGGTTAAGAAAGCAATAATGTCTAGTGTACCTAGTTAATAACTTTATTACTTAATTAGTCTGTAGCTTAGTAGTAGTAAATTTGAATATATAAATGATTGTGTAATTGTATAAAATTAACTTTTGTATGTAAGTAGGTATTGTTTTCAGCTTATATAATATGGCCTTGTTGACCCAGTTGACAAAGCATTGTCTAAATAAAATAGTGATGAAGAATAAAATTATTACCTATGAAATTAAATGATTGTTTTCATTACCACTGTATTATTGTTTATTTTTATAGTTATTTTGAATAAACCGATTTGACCTATTTTACAGTCCCTAATTTTTAAATAAAAAAAATTATAGGCATACAGTGAATTCCGCGTTTAACTTAGTCAAACTTACAAATACAATGAGTTAAATACCTGAACTGAGTTATTTTTAGCAAACAATTGTTTTTTACAGTATTATTTGTTGACACCTAAATTTTATTAATTCATATAATTATAAGGTCTAATTTATTTTCGACCAAGTTAAACAATATTTTAAAATATTTTTATAAATGCAATAATCATTAAAATAAGTTAAATTTGCATTTACTGCATTCCCTATTACAAAAGAATAAAAAGTCAATGCTGTTAAATTTTCTCTACTAGTCAACCCATAGTTCTATTTTTGTGAAGTAATTATGTTAATATAAATCCTTTATATTGTTATCTTTTCAAATAAATTTTTGAAAAAAAAAATGGAATTGGGCAGCTTAATTGGATTAAGGTAGGCTTGTTGTTTTTGTAGCATGGGGTTTTCTTAGGATTAAAATTGAGACATATGAACTTTTGACATTATTGATTTATTGTTTCAAAACAGGTTAATAAATTTATATATAATAAAGCAAACATTGATTTGAAAAGTATTTAATTTATATAAAATAATTATTTATAAGGGCTGCTCTTTCACTAACATCTTGAACTTCCGTATAGTACACTTGATCATTTACTTCCGCTGTTGGCAGCTCCACTTCTGAAGGAACATCCTCTAAATTGTGGTTCCTACAAATATTGTGCAACACTGCGGTAGCAATTATTATTGCCTGAACCTTAGGCAATGATAAACGCAGTGTTAATCCCACAACAGGGAAGGAACACTTCCAGACACCAAATGTTCTGAGAAAAAGATGAATGTATATTAGAAGAAGATCATTACAAGATTTTTATTTTTATTAATATGAAATAATATCTACCATAATTGAGAACCTTCCTTTTAATTGAGAACCTTCTCCTTTTCTGCTAAAAATAAAATACCTAATACTCGTTAGACATAAACAAAGTAGTTACCTTTCAATAATATTTCTAGTTTTTATGTGTGCTTCATTATAGCGCTTTTCAGCTTCAGTAACAGGATTTATAATAGGTGTTAACAAATATGGCCTGTTTGGGTAAGCGCTGTCACCAAGCATCCAGCGGTTACCAAACAGACCCGCATCACATTGTGCTGTAAATAAAGACATATTTAATTAAAATATTATAACATTGAAATATAAGAAAAGCTAACAAAACTATTAAACCAGTCAGAAACCTCTAAGAATTGAGTTGTTAAATATTGTGGCATCATGTATCGAGCCTGGCCAACGGGCAATCACATTCATGAATCTCAAATCAGCATCACAGATGGCTTGGACATTTAAGGAAAAGTAATCTTTACAATTCCTAAATTCTTCACCAATTAAATGACCTAGAAGAAAACATAATTAGTGTATCTTTTTTTATAGAATAAGAGTGAAAAACTAGCATGCAGTTCACCTGGTGGTAAGATGATGCTGTTATAGACCTACCTTTATGATTAAAATGTAGATGCATTGTCACGCCTGAGGACTATGATAAAATACCTCTTTATCATATTTTACACAGCATATTTAACATATTCTGTGGGAGTGTAGTTCTTCCCCTTTCGAGCCAACCCATTTGTAGTACATGTTAAAGCGTAGCTGTACCACACCTACCTATTATAGTAAAATAGTGTTCTATAAATGATATTTACTATAAGAAAACAAATTTACCCAATAAAATATTAGGAAATACTCACATGGCGATTGGATTCGTACATGAGTGCAATCAATTGCGGCAAGAACTCTAGGAAATCCTTCAATACGATAGAATTTTTCAGCACTTTGTTGGTGTACTAAAATGTATTCATCATACAAGTTGGCAATTGCTGATGATATATCACGAACTATTCTGCCAGCTGTCGATATAGAGACTCCAAGTCAGCTACAGAAATTAGCATCGTGCCTAATGCATAAAATCGTAGTGTTTAATAAAAGTTGATGGAGTGGGGAAACTCCATTGTTCCTGAAAATTTAAAACCATTATTGAATACCTACGTAAGTTTAAGTATACAATGTTTTGAAATTGAATTGCTTTGTGTTTAATGTTTTACATCATCTCCAAAACTATTTACCTTGTTGAGGTTACACGAATAAACGTCATCAATTTCATCAAAAGCGATGTGAAAGCCGGTTTGGATAACCTAAATCTAAACGTGAACTCGGCATCATCCAGACTCTGCATGAATTTTTCGTGAAGAAGTGCGGTGTCTATCCTCAGCGTCGCTATCAGTATCTCAATCGGATAACTGAGCCAGCACATCCAAATCACTATCATCACTATCACTAGAAAATATCGATATTTCCATTTTCTTTCTTTAGTAAAATCAACGCTGTGACGAAACCCCCGGTATTTCTTGGATTGCAATCTGCGATCGTTTACACCGGTCAATACAAATGTCAAAATGGACAGATAGGTAGGTTATTAAGAGGATAGAGTAAGTCAGCTCAAATTCTAATTTCCCCCCCACTTCCCCGCGCGTCGTATGCTATGTACCGATATGTTTGTAATCACTAATACTGTAAGTAGAAAGGTCGTTAGACACTTATTTCATTAGGTTTATCATATTTATGCCTGTTTCTTAACGCCAAGCCAGCCGCTTCTTATTTTTATCACGGTTATTTCCCATTTTAATTTTACGTCGTACTGTTGCGTAATGTATATTCTGATCGTAAGCGACACAACTTCTCCCTTCAAAAGCCTAAGCGATACTAACGTAACGGTGCGACAGGAATCAAGCTCAAGACGCCGATAGTTTAGGTAATTTCTTTTTACAGTGAAAATAATGGTATTTTAAAAAAAGGAAATAACATAAGCACTGCTTTATAGTTAGTTCAGTTAGTATGCAAAGTTTCATGATCTTATTTAAAGTATTTTATGAATAACAGCGGTTTATTGTTTATTTTGGAGGTAACTTTGGATTTTTTTTTCCATCGAGAAAATTTTACGAAATCGTGTTTTCGTCTAACATAATCATTAACATTAATCCTCAACTTTACCATATATTTATTTCAAAATTAATGCTGCAATATTTTCGGCATAACGAAGGATCTTGCTAAGCCATTTGACATTATATTTCCCCTTAAGGGTATGTTCCGAAATACAACGCAGTGTACTGTCCAATGCAAATGACGTATCATTTGACACTTTATTGTATGTTTATTGTATATTGTGTCGGATATCCGGCCATAATAAAACAATTTTTAATTGTGTGTTTGCCGAATGCCAGAATTTGTTTCTATTTATTCGAATACAAAAAATTATAGAATAATTGATGGTATATCCATTAGGAGGATATAATGATTTTTGGAGCACAAAATGACAAAATAATCGCCAACACTTTTCCAAATGGCGCAAAAGTATGACGTCATATACTGCCAATGTTTTGGAACGAATCACCAGTATAGCGTCGATTCATGACGTCATTTGCATTGGACAGTACACTGCGTTGTATTTTGGAACATACCCTAACACGCACAAACTGTCATTTTCGAACAGAGGCCAAGGCCAATCGTTATTCTGTGATCCGCCCTCTATAGGATAGATTGATTTTAAAGATAGCAAATTCAATGCACGGATCGTTTATTGGCACGCTTTACCCATAAAATGGATTAAAATACCAATCTAGGATAGCAAAAATTGGATCAGGATTGATTATTAATTTCGGGCGTAAGAGAGCTGTATCTAATTATAAAATATATGAAAATTCCCACCGATCCTGGACATGAGATCTGTTTGTCAAATATTCTTTACGTAGTACACGCACCTCTTTGCTACTCGAATCATTGTCTGATCCAGAGTGTGGTGCAGCTAACGTCTACGTAGGACGTACTCACACTAACGTCGCGGTCGCACTCTGCAGACTGCCGCCATGTTTGGCACTATAGGTCCCTGGATGGAACTTTTTATTCCATCTTCTATGGTGCCCATCGGAGACAGATCCCAGCCAAGGTTTGGTCGCTCCTGCAAAATAGCATCACGCTACAAGCTGGAGTGTTACTGGGCCTGGGCTGATACATCAACGTCCCGGGATATAAACACTTAGTTTAGGTTTTTGCGTTTAAATCGACTCTCGATGACGGGGGATCAGGCATAAAGCACTCACACCGTTGACCATCCTGCGGTGTGAGTTATCTATGTCCGATTTGAGATTAACACAGTACAAAAGTGTTCAAAGCACTCCCCTCACTGAACATCCACCAGTCGAGTCGGCCTGAAGGAATTCCCCCAATTGTGCTGAGGACGTGTCCGCCAGAGTTGGCACCGGTTCTAACGCGTATTTTTCGGTACTCCTACGCATTAGTTTCAAATTCGTGGGTGACAGCTTTCGTGCACCTGATCCCTAAAAAGGTAACTACTCTGATCCATTCAATTACAGGCCTATTTCCATCACCTTGTTCTCAAAAATAATGGAGTCCATAATTTTTCTCTTTGTGGAATTGTTTATCACTGGCGATTTTTCCAGACTGATACAACTTAGGGATCTTCAAGAAAAGAGCTTATTCCATTCTAAAAGGCCGGAAACGCACCTGCAATTCCTCTGGTGTTGCAGTTGTTCATGGGCGGCGGTAGTCCCAGTGAGCCGTATGCTCGTTTGCTCCCTATAATATAAAAAATCTAGACCTTTAAGCCGAGTATAATGATATAATCTGTAATGAATACGAATTGTTTAATTCTACTCCATTAAAAAGATAAAACAGGATCGACAATTCGCAACGTTCAAGTTGGCACCCAAATCTGTCTGGATACATATTATGGAATTCCATTTCGAAAAACCGTTTCGGAATATTGATTCGGGATTACTAACGCAGCTAATTCGTATAAAATCAAGGACCTATCACACACGTACAGCCTGTGCATCCAGAATCCCGCACGGAAAAAGCCATTCCGAATGCAAGACTTCCATAGATTTTATATGAGTCGCAACACACATTCGCAAATTTCGTACAGAACGCGCCCAGTGTGCGTCGCACGGCTGAACTGAGTACAAATAAAATACACCGGTGTTTTATACGTAATCCTATATGTGTATCTCTTTTCATAATCTTGCATCTTATTTTGTTTAACAGTTCGTAAAAATAGTTTATTTTTTCTAATCTCTGTGTAGATAGATATTTTTATATAACATTGATTATCTTGCAATGTTAAGGGGATAGGGGCACCCAGTAATAATGATATAGACTCTAGCCTAGATGTGCTGTGACTCTAGATGACTATAGCCTTAGGCCAGCCACATACATTCGGAATTCCGTTTCGGGATTCCTTTTTGGAATTCCGATTCAGGATTCCGTATATACATCACACATATACGTTTATTTCTTATTCGTCATAACAAGCCTCACTTGAGAGACGACAGTCATTCGTAATTTCGAATCAGTGAAAATTTCGAACGGAAAATTACTGTGCGTGTGTGACGGGTCCTTAATTTTATGTAGACTTGCTGCGTACGGAATTACAAATCATCTGAAACGGTTTTTCGAAACGGAAACCCGAATAAATTTTACAAACCACCGAAGTGTGCCAAGCCACCGAAGTTGTATGGTTTACCAAAAGTACACAAATCGACAGCTCATTACGGCCAATAGTGAGTCAGTTTGATTCGCTCACTATTACAGATTGGCTCAACACTTAGCTAAAATATTTTCACCACTCAGAGGACACACAAGAGCACAACCTCTTACCACTTTGTCAGTGAGATAAAAGACCTACGTATTACTGACAATAAAACCATGGTCAGTTTTGATGTTCAGGCTCCATTTACATGCCTACCTGTTGAAGACGGCATCTAAATTATAACTATGAAACTAGAGGAAAATAACATGCCAGCAGACATTGCCTTACATCAGGCTATCTATTCTGGAAGGAAGAGTTTTACAAGCAAGTAGATGGTGTTGCAATGGGCTCATTTGTATCTCCCATTGTCGCTGATATTTTCATGGAAGACTTTGTGGAGAAAGCCCTCCTTACTGCACTGCACAAGCGGTACGTAGACAATACTTTCACAATTTTACCATCAGACAAAGTAACTGCATGTTTAGAACATCTTAATTCCAAAAACTCTAAAATACAATTTACTATGGAGTTGGGGGCAAATAATTCCTTAGCTTTCCTAGATGTCCTAGTCACCCAAAACCCTAACAACACCATAGGTCAACTGTGTATAGAAAAAATACCCATACAAACCGATATTTAAACGGTGAATCTCATCACCGTACTTCACAGTTAGCTACCGTGGGCAAATCTTTGTTACAGAGAGCACGCAGGATCTGTGACAGCAAACACCTGGCCGCAGACTTTCAGCACGTTAGGCAGGTTCTACACGTTACCAAGCTTCGGGTTCCGCGCCTACGTCACAGTGACCGAGTGAAGCCGGCCACAGTCAAGCGTGTGTCTTCTGTACTCCCATATGTCAGATGTGTCACGGGCAAAATTGGCTACATCTTGAAGCGAGCCTCTATTAGAATATTCTACAAGCCACCGAAGACGATTAGTCAGTACTCACCATATGTCAAATGTAGTCAAGTATACCACTGCAAGCCATCAAGACACAGTAAATTCATTCTGCGTAGAGCAAACCATAAATAATAATTAAAAAGCTGAAGGTACTTGCGGCTCGAATCGTCGACGACCGAGTGCTTTCCGATCGGCTCGATTCTCTGGCACTGCGAAGAGATGTTGCATCCCTTTGCATTTTCTTTCGCATATACCATGGAGAGTGCTCTGAGGAATTGTTCGGATTAATCCCAGCCGCCAAATTTCGTGAACGCACTACGCGGCAAACGTCCCGATACCATCCACACCATCTGGATGCTTGGCGGTCCACCACTGTACGTTTCAAAAGGAGTTTTCTTCCGCGTACAACCTCTCTGTGGAATAATTTACCACCAGCGATTTTTCCGGACCGATACGACCTGGGGACCTTCAAGAAAAGAGCTTACTCCTTTCTAAAGAGCCGGCAACGCGTCTGCAATTCCCCTGGTGTTGCAGTTGATCATGGGCGGCGGTAGTCACTTAACATCAGGTGAGCCACATGCTCGTTTGCCCCCTCTTCTATAAAAAAAAAAAACTCCGGGTCAACATTGGCATCGGGACGTCAGTCACCTCAGTCCCCCGTGACCATGGGTGCTGGAAAGCACCGAAACGTCGGGAATTAAAAATAATTCAAATTAAACGTGATAAAATCCGTAAAAGCAGTTCTAATTAAAAAAAAAATGATAAAAATCGTTTTAAAATTTGTTACAATTTCTAGTAATATAAAGTCCACTTGGGAATCTTCC